AGAGAGAGAGAGAGAGAGAGAGAGAGAGAGAGAGAGAGAGAGAGAGAACTAAATGATTTGTTGATTTGTAGTTGATGCATTTTGATTTTGATAGAAAATCCAAATGAAATAAATGCAAAAATGAAATAAATAAAAAAACTTTCTTTTTTACTGTCATTATATTGATTCCCATAGGGAAATTCGTTCATTCGTTCGTTTTTTATGCCTTTTTATCGTTGAATGATGAAGATTTTTTCTCCAAATCCAGCAAAAAACAAAAAAAAACAAAAATTATCATCGTCATCATTAATAATCGTTGATGATGAAATTTTCTGTCGAATTTGATATTGGGAAAACAAGCAAAAAAAAAAAAAAGACAAACACAAAACACACAAAAAAAACAGACCCGATAATATTGATGATGTATCAAATCATCATCATCACATGGCTAACTAGAACAACAACAACAACAAAAACAACAACAAAAATGTAAAACATTAAGACATCAATCAAGAAAAATTTCATTACATCATACACATTGATCATGTGTGTATCATTTTGATGTTTTTTCGGTTTTTTTTGTTGTTGTTTGGCCATTCTTTTCTGTTTCTTGTTGTTTTCCTGTTTTTTTTTTGTTTTGTTTTCTGATAGAAAACAAAAACGACACAAATACATCATCATCATCATCTGACTTGATTCAAACTCTTTAGAGTGTATGTGTTAAATTCTTAATGGAAAGTCAATTTATTATCATCATCATTATCATCTTATGCTTCAATCTAATTCAAAACTCCTATAATTGTAACTAATAGCTTTATTTTACAAAATGGACAATCATCATCATTTTTGGTTCTTTTTTTTTATTTGGATCACTTTGGATCACTTATAGTGTATTAATTACAAATGATAATTGGATTCTATAGAAACATTTACAAAACCAATTTTGATGATGGAAAAAAAAAATTGGGTTATAAGAATGAATGAATGAATGATGATGATGATGAAAGAAGAAAGAAAATTATCATCCAAGAGAAAATATATGTGTGTGTGTGTTTGGGCATCAATGAATAAATTATTGATATTTTTTTTTTTGCCTGGAAAAAATTCTTTCTTTTTGTTCTTTTCTTTTCATTTCATTTCATTTCATTTCATTTCATTTCTTTCTTTCGTTTTCTTCTTCTTCTTCTTCTTCTTTACTGAAAAAAATACCTAAACGATAAACTTCATTTCAATGCAAATCATGTTCAAATAGTGTTTGATTATCCATTGTTCAATCAAATCAAATTAGCAGTTTTTTATTATTATTGAAATATTCTTTTTTTATTATTTGTAACTTTTTTTATTATTACAAACCTTTTGAAAATATTAAAATATATAATGTTATTGAATTGAATAAAAAACCAATGATTATAATAAACATATTTAAATAACCATAACAATAATATTTTAATTGTAATACCCATTCAGGATGTTCATTATCCATTATTCAATCAAACAACATAAACAGGGAAGAAAATTCAGTTATTTTTTTTAAAAAAAGAAGCACCAAGGTTAACTTTGATCAAAGAAATTGAGGATTGATTTCATTGTTTGAAAATGAGCAGCAGAAACTTTGAATGACTTAATTACAAATTTGATAAAAGGTTGTGTGCAAATAATAATTTTTTTTTTAATATTTACTTTTTTTTTCGCTTAATGATCCAGATAATTGTGCTCAATATGATGATGATGATGACGACGATGACGATTATGGATGGTTATATCTATGGATGGATAATCTCCTCGGATAATATGCAAGTTTGTTTTTTTTTCTTTTTTTTAAATTTTCCATTACACTATGTTTGTGTTTGTATTTGTATTTATAATAATAATAATCTATTTGGCGTCATTATTATTATTATTATTTTTCTTTCATTCTATTTGTTCACCTACGTTACTCTCTTTATATTTATATTAGGCTTAATAAATTTATTGGACATCATTATTATTACAGAAAAAAAATGGTAATGATAAAATATGTGATTAATAATGTGATTGGGCTTTTTTTGAGGCCAAAAAAACTATAGTTAACGAAAGAATATATAACGAGAAGAATATATAACGAGTTTTGCTTAGTTAAGTTAGTTACTATGTGATTTATTTTTTTTTTTGGATTATCAGTATTATTCGATTATGAATTTTTTTCGTTTGTAATGATTTTTTTATTATTTATTAGACTACTGAAAGCAAGCAAAGCAAAATCTACAAATTATAATTTATATATTTTGTAAAAAAACGAAAACGAAAAAAGATGGTCATTATGAGAGAGAGAAAAATATTATTGGCGCATCCTTGCTTGCTTGGTTGTTTGTTTGTAAAAAAAAATGATTACAATTTTTTTCCAAAATGTAGTAACACCATGATGATGATAAATGATGATCATTACCATTATTATTATTATGATTATTATGAGAAGTAGAAAAAAACATTTATCCAGTCAGTCAAGTCAAGTTGGTTCAGTGTCTGATCATCATCATCATCATCATATCATATCATTTACTCCAAATGACATCTCTTCTTTTTTCTCTAGACTAGATCATCGCCAAAAAACTGAAATGAAAAATTCTCTCATAATGATAATTATGGTTTTTCAAGCTCAATTTGTTTTGTTTTTGTTTTTTTAGGATAGAATATCATAGCCAAAGAACATTTGAAATAACAACAACAACAATCGAAATGAAATAGTCAATAAACGATAAGATTTATGATAATGATCATCATCATCATCATCAAGATGATGATGTGACCAGGGAATTGAACAAACAAACAGCAAAAAAAAAAGGTAAACAAAAAAAAAATGAAATGAAATTTTTATTTGATTTGTTTTTGTTTTTCGGTGGAAATACGAAAAACAACTACAGTTATTTTCATCATCATCATCATCATTATCATCATAAAATGATTTCGTTTTTTAAGAGAGAGATTCCACAGAAAAACTACAAAAACAAAAAAAAAACGACAATTTTCTTTCAAGTTTTTCTTTTCGTACAAAAGAATCAAGAATTTTATATCAAATAAGATGCTTAAGAAGAAAAGAAGCCAAGGAAAAATAACAACAACAACAACAGAAAAACATTCACCAGCAAAAAAAAAAAAAAAATGTTTTGCTGGTTTTGATGATTTATTTGCTGTGCGTGTCTGTACTGTTTTCCGTTTGTGTGTGTGTGTGTGCACGTCCCAAGAGAAAATATATTCTTTGTTTTTTTGGTTTTTTACCAAAATGAAATTTTAAACAAGTGTGTTTAAAAATAAAAATAGAATCGCAAAAATACAAAAGTTGTAATAGAAATTTTTCTAAAAATAGAAACAAAGTAAAGTAAAAAATCTTACCTTTACTTGAATTCAATATATACAATGTTATTGTATTACCCAATAAACCTAATATACAGATTATATTGGATAAAATACCATAGGAATAATATTTGATTATTTCCAACATTTTTTCTTTCTTTCTTTCGCTGTGTTTGCTGTTGCTATTTGATTTTTTTGAATTGATTGATTTTCTTTCAAACTTCCACCAAAAAAAAAAGAAAAAGCAAATCGAACGATTGACAATGAATGAACGAAAACAATGGCTAAACGAAAAGCATTTTCTTCAAAATCACTTAAAGTTTTTTTTTTTCGTTTCTGGCAATGTTAATATGCACTTTAATTCTTGATGACGATAATGATGTTTGATGATGATGACCAATATGAGATTTATATAATTGTTTGTTTGTTTGTTTTTGGTTGATAAATCTTAAAATAACCTTTTTTTT